ATTAAATATGAGAAGATTAACTAAAATATGTTTCAATCGTAAGATTTAAAAAATATCGAAATATTCGAATTCATGCACTGTTAGACCTAAGGACGAAAACACGATGTTAATTATACAAACATTGCTTGAGATATGATGTAACAATTTATCATTTTGTAATGTAAAAGTCTTTCTGAATCGCTCATGTAAACCATACTTTCGTAGGACTGAATCGGTGCAATATTCGTTAGTTCACAATAGAAAAAGATTTTTATTTTCAAGTACATTTTTTTTTTTATAAATTTTGATATAGAAAAAAGTCGACAACGCACTAGTCAATTTATAACAGTTCTTAAACGAGTATTGACGATGTTAGATCAAAAAGTGCTTTTTAAGCGTTCCGAAAATGAAAAATGCTCAAGATCTCTCTTATTATTCGACTGATTTTGAAAAAAAACTCTGATATTTCTAATCAGCACACACTCTGCTTTATCGACCTATAAAGATTGCGAATAAAATAAATGCAAATATATATATAGTGTTCAGTGTCTGTCTGTGCTGAATCAATGGTTAAATGTTAATGGTCGTAAGATTATAAAGGGGTAAGACTACAAGTGGTAAGACTAGAGGGAGGGTGGAGATTGAAACTACAAGGGTATGAGGGTCATCCATAAAGGACGTCGAAGCAAATGAGGGAGGGAAGTCAGCGAAAAATGGACATTTCTGGATAGAGGGAGGGGTCAGCCGTATCCGGACGTCCGGATGCTCATTAAGAATTTTTTGAGCACTTTTCGCAAAACTTTTGAGTAAAATTGCTTTTTAGACAGCATTTTCACAATAAAAATCTGTCAGAATTTTATGAAGCATCATATCAACATAACTAGTTATTAGTTAGCTTGCAGAAAAAGGATTCAAACTCACAAAAGTAAAGGAAAAACTATCTCTAATCGAAAGTACATAAACGACAGATTGTCAAACAAGTGGTATACTTTAAGATACTCGACCAAAGTGGTATAAGTTCCATTTTTCTTCCAGAAGCTATGGAACAACGAGATTTTTCATTAATTTCTCAAAAAAGAGTCATTTTTCTCGTTGTTACAATGGATTCTTGGTTAAAAATGGACATAAGTTCTATGATGACTTCGTTTTGACAATAAAACTGAATTATTTGAATGATAAAAACCATCTCTATATTTCTCACGGAATAAAAAACGATGGATTTTCATCATAATTATATGAAACTTTAGAGGGAAGAGCAGTAGGAAAAATATATTTAAAAAAAAAGGAGAGAACTGCTGTAAAAAACATTTATTTCTATCAGAAATTTACAAAATATTTCTCAAGCTTTCGCACTCTTCTGAGTACATCTTCAGGAGTTACATTGTGCTCAAAATGAACAGGAATGTATACAAAAAATAAATACATAAATAAATTAATAAGTACATCAAAATACCAATGTTCAATTAATAAATAAATACATAATTTTGAATCTTGCTGTTGCTATTGGTGTCGTTGTTGTTGATACTGCTGCACTGTTGTGGTTTTATATGTTAGTATGAGGAGGATCGACCGATTAAGGGTGTGGGTGGGGTGTGGGTGTGAGGTGTGGGTGGGTATTGAGAGTAGTCACACCCTCTCACCCACAGCCATACCCACCCACACCCACACCCCACCCTTTTACAGAAAAAACAGTCATACAATATATATAATCCTGGACAATATTTTTCGAACGATTTTATTTTCAGCATAACTCCCTCATAATGTGCACTTTTGACGAAAACCACTCGTCAAAAGTGCACATTATGAGGGAGTTATGCTGAAAATAAAAACGTTCATAAAATATTGTCCAGGACTGTATATAGAAATATCTTCAATCGAACGTAATCAAATAGCCGTGCGTCGAACTAATTAACATAGGTTTATGTTTTGGCGTCATGATTGAAGACAAGTTCTTCAAGTGTCTCAATGATTGTTCAATATCTTTTATTAGCAATGAAAAGTTTCTCTTGGTATGTTCAATGAAAAGTTTATGCTTAAATAAGACAGAATTATTCATATTTGAATACTTTCCCATGTTTATTAGTTAATGAACACAGTTGAAAAATGATTAGAAAACGTGTGAAAATGAAATTTGGAACAAACCAACTTGATTGTCTCTAATAATTTCATTTAGATATGATGGATGACTTTGATGATAGGATATTTTACTGCTTTCTTAATTACAATAAAAGTCTTTTCATATTTCAAATGATAGAAAACTAAGCAGTAGTATTATTACAGAATTTCAATGTCTAAAAAGATAAAATTCAGAGACCAAATAATTTTCATAGATTATTTATTAATAAGCTTGCAATTCAATATAATGGCGTTTGTGATACTTGAAGCATTTTCCCAATTACATCGAGGTAGTAATAATGAATATCTTATTGTTATATACTATGTAAATTCATCTAACCTTTGATGATCTCTCCTCATCATAGGATGAATTTTTCTAAACAATTAATTTCATCAAACTGGATGCTGTTGTTTTTTTTTTATTTAAAAAAATAAACGAACATTATACCTATTCTTATACATGTTTAAAAGTGTTCGTTGTTTTTAAACATAGAAATTCATGAATCTTAGTGTTATATATGTATAGAAGTGTTCGTTTTGTTTAAACATCTAAATTTTTGAATGTATTATATTCTTCAGATTTTGATTGAAGATCTTCTAATATAGGTCTAATCCAAAAATTGAACATGTCGATGTTCATTTGAGTGCATGATCAAAGAATATTTGCCGTAACAGTAGCCAAATATCTTCGATTAAAGAACATATCCAAAGCACCTACATAATCCAATCGATTTAATGTAGACACTTGATCAAGTGTTTGACCATTTTTTCCTGGCTTAAATACACCAGCAGTACCTAAATAAAATTTTCTGTTTATATTTCAGAGAAAAGGTTAAGTTTTATTTGTTTTGCCGTTCAAAAGAATAAAAAATCTATCGACTATTCTTCCGATTTGAACAATATGTTGACCTCGTCGAAATTTTACGATCTTGAAATGATCAGCCAGATCGAGATATTTCTTGTCATCCAGATGCTTTAAAATTTTTACCGATTTTAAAACAGGCACAAGTTCTGCTGATGTCTAAACCAAATACAAATATTTCATTAATTAAATACACATTTTATACTTACTTGACACTCGACATCATCAATTTCAAATTCTTCATGTTTTTTTTGGATCAGGATTAATGTAAAATTCATCCTACCAGCGTTCTGTCAACACTAGTCTTGTCAAAAATATATTTGAATATAAATATCAATTTTCCTGAAGATATCTAATCTATGTATGACTTTAATATTTGAAAAAAATTATTATTTTAACTTTCTGCAATGGTCACAATGATAAAAACAGGTATAAAACTATCTACCATAAGACTTCCCTGATAAATATGAATAAGATGTTTTTTACTCAGCAAATTACATCAGTTGCAAATTTCTATAAAATTCATACTAAAAAAATCTACAGGTTGTCTCAAAAGTCCGGACGAAAAAAAATTTGAATATCTTCCTTACGACTCGAGCAAATGAGCTGACTTTTTTATCAATGATAGAGGCATGTTCAAAGTTTATATCCATAAAGGCATGCCTAGAGATCCTCTTTATAAAGTACCACTATTGGTCTCAACAAAAAAATATTACTTTTTCATAGATAGGAAAAAACCGATACACAGAGTAGCGCAAAAGTCACTTTGCCGAAAAAAAGAATTGGATATCTCCACTAGGGCTCGGACAAACGAACTGATTTTTTTATCAATGATAAAGGTACGTTCAAGCTTTATATTCATAAAGACATGCTTAGAGGGATCCTTTGTTAAATATATTATTTTTTTTTTCTATCTGTGAAAAAGTAAACTTTTTTTGATAAGACCAATAGTGATACTTAACAAAGAGAATCTCTAGACATGTCTTTATGGATATAAACTTTGAACATGCCTCTATCATTGATAAAAAAATCAGCTCATTTGCTCGAGCCGTAAGGGAGATATTCAAATTTGTTTTTCGTCCGGACTTTTGGGACACCCTGTATTGTTTAAGAGAAAACAAATTTTGTGTATTTTTTTTTTTATTATAGCGCGGCTATAGAAAAAATGGTGAAAAAATATGTTTGAAGAATTAAATATTGTTCATTTTCGATTCAAGGCGCCTATAATCAAAAATTAACAAAGTACCTGAAATGAGACTCTTCCACACATTCATTACAATTAAGTTTATCAGATGAGATATTTTTTAAGATTTTAACAACAGTTTCATGATGTTCATTAATTCATTTTGTATTATTGTGTTTGTGGAGCATTAACATTTGATGAACAAATATGATCATCAAGATAATATAAACCAATGCCATAATAAATAATAATGAAAGGTGTAATTTAACAGATGTTTTATTGCGAAGGTATAGTGCTGCCGGCGTCTGAAACAAATTTTTATTAATGCAGGGCGGTCCAAAAGTCACGCACCAAACAAAAAAAAATTAAATATCTTCGTTAAGGCTTGAGCAAATGAGCTGATTTTTCGTCGATGGTAGAGGCATATACAAGCTTTTTATTCATAAAGACATGTCTAGGTAGACCCTCTATTAATTAACCCTATTGACTTCAAGAATAAAAAATCTGTTTTTTTATATATCAAAAAACACTATGTAATGTACAGAAAGAACAGTTGATTCGGAGAAAATGTAATTAATAGAATAAATTTATAAACAACGCATGTTGTATTCATATATATTCTCTTTTCGTACTTTTCTCCTTCTGTTTTCCTATAACCTATGTTGGCACTTTACACGCTCTAAATCGTTTTATTTATATTGTTCATTATATTGCTTTAGCAGCAGTATACGTACGTTTTCGATATTCCCGGTAAGATCTGTGCTTCTTTGCTGCACACTGTTCATTCTATCTTACTTCGAATTCGTATGTACAGATGCCGAGAGTTTTAACAAAAGAACATTTGTCCTGAAGCAATCGTGGATGTCAGGAAGAACATCAAAAAAATTTGATGAGACAGGTTCTGTGGAAGATACACCTCGAAGTGGTAGACCAACATCAAGAAATACAGAAGAAAATATGGAACTTGTTTCTCAAAGTTTTCTTCTTAATCCGCAAGCGTCACAAAGACGTGCAGCACGTGAACTTGATATCTCACGTTCAAGGTTACAACGTATCATGAAAGATCTCCATTTGAAACCGTACAAATCGAGATTATTACAAGCCTTATGAGGATGATCCTGATCGACGACTTGTATTTTGTCAATGCGTTTTAGATTCAGTTGTAGAAGATCCAACTATATTAGATCGAATTTTGTGGACAGACGAAGCTACATTCCAAACAAACGGTGATTTGGATTATCTGAAATTATTAATTGAACATGAATTTATATCGCTCAATAATAATATCGAATTATGCCAAGCAATCTCTCGTTCTGTAGCTAAGCGTTGCCAAATGTGTATTAGTACAGAAGGCAAACAATATGAATATTTGCTTTAACATATTGATTATTCTTTTCTGAAAAATTTTCCTTTCTGTATATTATATTGGTTTTTTTTGATATATGAAAAAGCATATTTTTTATTCGTGAAGTCAATAGGGCTAATTGATAGAGGGTCTATCTAGACGTGTCCTTATGAATAAAAAGCTTGTATATGCCTCTTCCATCAACGAAAAAATCAGCTCATTTGCTTAAGCCTTAATAGAGATATTTAATTTTTTTTTTGTTTGGTGCGTGACTTTTGAGGCGCCCTGTATATAGACAAATCACGCATACACTTACGAGATTTACATCTTTAACCTTTAAATATTTGTTTGATATGTCGAGATGAATACCTAAAAAAAGAAAATCGGTTAAATATGATTTATTATTTCAAATTATTCAACTAACCATTATGAGTATCAAGAACACCAGCCATTTTTTCGAATCAACTAAGACGATTTTGTTTTGCAAAGAAAAACAAAATCTATTTTATTTTATTTTATTCTAAAATTGAGAAAAAAAATATCATTGTTAATGTTTTGAATTTGGTTCGGAAAAATAAGTTTTCATTCGACTTTTTCCTTTAACATCAATCTCTCCACGAAATTCAAATTGATATTTATCTTTTAAAGCTATAGCAACATGTTCTGGAACTTGAATTTGTTGCTTTTTACTCGTTGAATCCATTCTTCAAGCAACATTAACTGTATCATCTCAAGTATCGTAAAATAATTTAGTTGTTACAATAATCCCAGTTGTTACTGATTCAAAATTAAAACCCATTCGAAGTTCAAATGCAAAAATTTAAAAGTGCTTCGATCTATTTTCCATTTGTTTCGGTCGAGATACAATATATTCACACGATGCATTGTAAAGTGTGTGCATGTGGAGATTATATTTCAAACGAGACTTCTGTTTATAATTGATAGATTATCAATCATTCAGATTAATTTTAAATAACTTTTTTTTTCTGTAGAATATTATTTTCCGATATAAAATATGGATTTCTAATTGTAAATATTAGAAATAAAAAATCTTGTTGAAAATAAAAAAAGATAAACAAAAGAGGTCGCTTTTAGAATTTATTTGTTTGTGTTATTTCATATAAAAATAAATGTGAGAATAAATATATTTCTATAATTTCAGATGTTAACTAAATTAACTCATCCATTTCTATCGAATGGTGTTGAGATCATAAATCGATCATTATCCATTTCAAATATATTTTATCAATGGTGGAGCACCAAAATCAAGTTCAATTAATAAATTATCTAAAACAGGTTGATTTTTCATTGATTTTGTTTTTATTTAATAAATCAAATTTTAAATGATAAATCATCAATTGAACATAAAACAGATGAAAAAGTTTTACGTGTAGAAGATTCTTTAGAAGATTTATCATCAATTAAACAGTAGTGCAGAACAGAGATGTGCGGGGCATTGATTTATCATGCCCCGCGGGGCCCGCCCCGTAAAATTCACAAACCCGTCCCGTCCGAACCCCGTGGATATTCTTTTTGAGAATCCCCGCCCCGCCTGTGCCCCGGCAAATCTATACCCGCTCCGCCCGTACCCCACACAGGCAGCTTCTTGGACCGGCCCGCCCGACCCGTCCCCGTGTAACCCGAAGAAATTTTTTATTTATCAAATACTTTATTTTTAATGATGCATTCCTTTTATGAATAATCATTTTTTACAAAAACAAAACTCAAGTCTATATGAGATGGTTTTGAATGATTCACTTTGTGATTGTCGACAAGCACGTATTTTTCTGGTTGTTCTTTTAAAAACATTTTTATATTTGACGAATTACATTTAATATTACTCGATGAGCAATGACTGAGAGATGAAGAAATAATTGTAGATGAACGATCAGTATTCGACGAAGCTGTCCTATCAAGTGATTCATCAGGAGATAAATCATGTGATTCGATCATACTTAGGTCTGACCAAAAGTTCTGGCAACATTATATAAAAATATAAAGATAAGTAGGCGTCTTTAATTTTATTTTATCAAATATTGAGGACAGTTGCCATGATTATTTATACCAAGTTCGATCCTTTCCAACAATTTGTTAAAAATTTTTTTCGAAAAAATTTTTAGATATCTTAGATATCGCACGAGCTTATCATGTTTCATTTATTTAATCAGTTAAACTACATTTGATAGAATTAGTTAGCGAAAAGTTACATAGTATCAGGCCTGGCGAATATGATAGATATGATATTATATTGATGCCTTCTTCTGTCATGCAATTAATAACATTAGATGAGTATGAAGTCAACGATGACCGTCAAGCAATTTTGAACCTGATGTCTCTGAATAATTAATATGATTCATGGGCATAGAAAATGAAATCTATATATAGTGAGATTATTTTACAGCAGCAATGAAAAAAAAAAAAGTTTATTTTATATAATTTTTCGTCCTACGACGTTTCGATAATTTTATTATCATTGACTAGTAGATGTTGTAATGAGGAAAGAAAACACAGAACAAGAATGAGACAAACAATTGAAATGAGAAAAGTTCATATATCAAATAAAATAATATATTATATAAAAGGGTGTGGGTGTGGGGTGTGGGTGTGGGTGTGGGTGTG